CAAATACTAATACGTTGTTCAAACTTTCGATATTTGCCTTGAAATTAATTTTCAATTCACTTTGCACGTATCATTATGTAAAATAATTTACTCTTTCGTAATTAAATAAGCTATAAACATACAACTTGATATCTTTAAAACAGGATACACAAAGTACTAGAACATAACGCGACAAATAAATGTTAACAGCAACAACTTGTCACTTGTGTATTAATCAAAGATGCTTGCAGTTTCGCTGACAGAATAAAAGAAAAATAAGGCTCGCGTTTATAAGTGTGTTTCTCCTGCCTGTTTATGTAAGTTAGTAGCTTCGACAATAATCCTTTAAGCTCCTTGCTTTCGTTTTTTAAAAATGATTTTTTTTAAATAAATGCCGAATTTAATGGAAATTCCATGTATTCTTACAGTAGCCAGGAAGGATGTAACGGAAAACATGAAAAGCTAACAGTCTATTCTTTCTCAGATCGACAAATGTTTTTTTTCTTTTTGTGTTCATCGAGATATGCCGTTAAAACGTCTTTTCTCAAAGGAATATTAAACAATGTGTGATTGATAAATTGTTGGCCGATTGTGATACGAGCCGGGGGCCCGGAATTTGACTCATCTCACCATTAACTCACGACGACATTCGCTAAGAACTAATCCTAAAGCCAAAAGATGCTCGACCTCGACAATATTCACGAACGCCTAGCTTCTTCCGCAATAAACTGAATCGCGATTTGTCTCATGGATGACGCGAGCGCTGTTCGCGCACACAGAGAGAGACATAAATACCTAGACACCGTACGTATCTGTATGAACGAAGAGAGAAACTTGTGAAGTTGGATTAATGCCGCAGTAGCGAGTTTCTTGAATAGAAACTTGAGATTAAATTTGCAGGTGAACCCAGCGAAAGCGACTTTAAATGCAATAAACTTGGATTCTTCGGCTTGGCGTCGAGCAGCGGGCAGAGGCAGTCTGCCCACCACATCAGAACATGAGGAATAATTAACCGAACATCCTCACCGAACACCCAATTTGAACGTCTTAATTAAAGAGGATTAAACTGTCGCGAGGCGATTCGGCTGCTATCTAGGAAACCCCACCCACGCGTACACCGCAACCAGTGCACAATGAAGGGCACAAGGAGCGCGGGAGTGCATAATCCGATCTTACAAAAGGGCCCAGCGTCGAGCCGACGAGGAGCCCGTAACTGTCGTGCCCGAGTTGTTTGCTACGATATAACGCCCGACATGATAATGATAATAAAACGTACCTTGACACCGAAAGAGGCCTCGTAGCCGCCCTTGCCCTGCATCTGGTTCTGGATGGCGTTGAGGTGGGCGCTGGCCATGTCGAGGTCACCGGTGCCGATGTGACCAGTGTGCTGGAAGTTCGTCGGGGCCCCGATCATGCTCCGGTCTATCCTCAGCCTCTGCTGGGGCCTCTGGCGCTTGCTACGCGCCCCGGGTCGCTGCTGGGTAAGGCAGCACGTGAACCACTGGACCCACACCTCGCCCGTGCTCGCCATCTTGCCGCCCTTATTCTGCGCCGTCGTTGCGACTTGGCTCGGCCTGCGTTAGGACAAACAAAGAGCCCGAAGATCAGTTGCGCTACCGTGGAACGCCGCTGTGACGGTGACGGGGGGTGGGAGGTAATTGGCCCTGTTGGTAGCCGGATGATGGTCGGTCCGACAACGTCTCTCCGACGGGTGGGCAATGAAATATTACGACCGATGATCGGGCTCGGGTCGTGGATGGATGGGAGGTGAGGGAGAAGGTGGGGGAGGTGACGGAGGTGGCGGAGGTGGCGGCTTTGGGGGTCGACTCGGTTTGTGACCCGCTGGGAGTCGTACAGAGGATGTAGGAGATGAACCTTGATGGCTCGCCGAGCGTGATCGTGTGTTCGAGGCGTATAGAGGAGGGAATTACGAGAGGTGGAGAGAGAGAGAGAGAGAGAGAGAGGGGGGGGGGCTCGACCGATAGTCTATATGATTCCTGGACCGAGGATATTGCGAGAATATTCCTGTGAGATGCTGAGACAGCTGACCCTCACGCGCCATCATTACCAGAGCGTGTACGACTTGTACGAGGTATAATTTTGAACGAGGACATTTATTCTCATTGCCGCGTATATCTACGGATTTATGAACACGATCTAATGCCAAAGACATTGACATCTTACACTCCTAACTTTAGGCTTTTAGCTGAACGACACCGTTCTTTTTTATCGCTATAAAATGATGGAAAATTCGATGGTAAATTACTTTTTTCCGGTTCGGTGGAATGCTTTGAGCGTATAAATGCAAGTAAGCGTGCTAACAAAAAAAAAAAAAAAAAAAAAAAAAAAAAAAAAAAAAAAATAAGCACTTAAATCTTTAAAATAGGGGGAGAAATTTTTGCGGACGTTATAAATTCATTTCAACTACGAGGTTCAATGAATTCACGTTCCAAATCGACAAGTGAAATTGGGTGTTGTCGGTGAATTATTGGAAGGACAACGAAGCGGGAGTTGCCGCTGATTAAAACTTATTTCCATTGGGATGATTTGAAAAATGATGGATTTTTCGTCTCCCATTTTCTAATGACTTACTTTACAAAACGTAGGTATAAAGAAATTTAACTGATTTCCAAACACGTGAAAAGTTATCGTGAGCTTTCATGCGGAACGATGCCACGAACGATAATGTGTGATCGATACGGAACATTTTTCTTCGAATAGACCTTTCATGAGCTCGCGCATTAACATTTTGAGGGACGTGTGAAACTGATTGTTCGAACCTTAATAAATACAATATATTGAACGATGAACTATTGTTTTGTATAAACGGGAGCAAAACTTTTGAAGGCGCATATTTTTATCTTTGTTCCGATTGGTAAGAAAGATACGTTGGGGCAGATAGGATTGGTTTCCTTCAATTTTCTCGAACTCCTACGAGCATTATGAGCGGTGGCTATCCCCAGCACGTCGATTATATGAATTTCTCAAGTTTATTGAAAATCGATATTAGATTTAAATAAAATTTTTATGGCCGTGGAAGATGTTTGGTGAACGTATGAACTTTTAACGTCCATTAAAATAACAGATAAACGGACTTGGTTGGAAAGTATTAAAGCTGCGAGGCTTACCTGATATCGCGTTGATAAGTACGACGAGAGAGAAAGAATAATCTGTACAATATGATAATGCGTTTGTCTCGATCTATCCATCACTTCGTGTTCATTATAATTAACAAAAAATTAATTATACACCTAATTCCACGTTATTTATGACAATTTGCAATTTCAATTATAAAGGGGCTTATAAGAATATAAATTACCCCAACATCATAGTGTAAGCCAAGGAATTAGTTGATGATAATAAAGTTGAGTGAAAAGGAATGAGCAATAATATTTGTAATAATAGTAATAATAATGAAGGTATGTCGTCGATTCTATTCGTTGGAGCGGCGAGTAGAGTGAAACAAAAGAATTTACGATGCACGGTAGCGCTTTGTCGAGAATCAATTCGTAAATCACACTAGTATTTACAGTTTATAATTAAAAATCAAAGAGTTTAATCATGGCAAGTCGTACGAAAGCAATGAGAAACTATTTTAATCCGTACCTCAATGCCCTTCGAGTGTATAAAAAATACGAGCTGTCCAGTCTCTCCAGCCAGTCTCTCCAGCCCTCAACACTTACTTTCGTCGCAAACAATAATAATAATGATAATAATAATAATAATAATGATAATAATAATAGCGATAATAATAATGATAATGTTAATAATGATAATAATGATAATAATGATAATAATAACAACAACAACAACAACAACAACAATAATAATAATGTTGCAGAAGGAGAAGGCTCGATTTTCTTAAGGTTTACGATACCGAATCCAACATCTATTCCGAGTGCAAACACAAGTGCAAATGTCGTGGCTGTACAGTGGTAATCGCAAGCCGAACGAGGCTGCGAATACAATCGCAATATCCGTCGATTTGCTTTGGAATTTCGAAAATTCTCGAGGATCCTTAGACTCGAATGGCCTTATTTAAACATCAACTTCAGCCACGACGCCCTGCCAATTTATATTAAAAGCCACTACGTAATTATAAATTCCCCTCGTTTTATCTTACTCGCGCAGGTGTAAAATCGCATCGGCAATGCGCTGATCAAACGCTTGTTGCGAACAATGAACGGGTGGACGCGCGAGAACAAGCTAATGCTTTCTCGTATCCGAGAGTCGCACGCGCAAAGGGAACGTCGCGCGCTATCTGAGAAAGCCTGCGATCAAAAAATTTCGCATCCAATATAAATCATAGGCAAAAAAAACCAGGGGGGGGGGGGGGGAAGATCAGCCGGCCCGGCCGTGAGTAAAAAGGCCGCGAGAGTGCGTACGAGCGTACGAGAGACGTGGCGGCGGCTCCTGCCTCTCTCTCCCTCCGTCACTCCATCTCGCCATCTCTCTCTCTCTCTCTCTCTCTCTCTCTCTCTCTCTCTCTCACCCTCTCTCTCCCCTCTCTCTCCCCTCTCCCCTCTCCGTCTATCGGCACCGCCGCCTCGACCCCCGTCCGACGATAAAATCAGTGGGAAAGGCGCGAGACGCCGGAATAAGAAGTAACAATGAAAATCGCCGCCTATGAGAGCGCATAAATCAGCGGGGCCCGCGATAAATCAGTTGCCGGGACGATCAACGCGCGGGGGCGGCACTTTTCCATCCCGAGCCGAAAAAGCCCGAGCGTTTCGCTTCGCCCGACTAACGGTGATGGCGGGACGGTGGGAGGGAGGTGAACCGCAGTGTAAATTGCACTTCCGAGGAGTGATAGCGAGGCCCCCTCGGCCATAATGACGCGAGCCAGCCCACGAATACGCATTTCGATAACGAGGGAGAGCTTGCGCGAGCTTGCGAGCCCCGTCCTCACATCCTAGATCGACGACCCGGCTCGCGATAAGCTTGCCCTGGGCGCGCCAGTGCCAGTGCGTTCGACGGATTTTTCATAATCGACGAATTATGCTCGCCAATTATGGTTAGGCACGGAAGGAGCAACGGCCGCAGTGGTATTTTCATTTTAAGCTTTAACGAATGAAGCTCGAATTATTAAATCAGACCTTACGCGTATTATATTATGTTTATTTAAAGAAAAGCCCGGGACTTTTTATCGTGCATTAAAGGATCGTGTGTGTAAACGTTGCTCGAACGGGCCCTTTTTATAGCTACAATTTAGCTAAGTCGTGTATTATTTAATGATCGTAGCGATAAGAGTCGTTAAGTATTCGTTAATCTTTGGAGTTTGTGATTATAAAATTAAACGATTTGATGAATTATTTAAAAATGACTTGCACGCGATAAGAATCTTAATAACGCCGGAACCGGAGTGTAGTGGTATCTCACTTAGTACGGGACATATTATTTCCAGCGATGACGAGCGAATACGACGCAATAAATTATTTACGATAGCGTCTATCGAGGTCTAATATTTTTATTTTACAAGACTTTTTACCAAACTAATCAACTCTTATTTAATCAATGTCTAATTTATGTATATATTTGTGTGTGCGCGCGCGCGCGTGTAGATTGAAGATCGCGCCTAGTATTATACATAATCGTCGATTATTCATAAGAATATTATTGATTAATAAAGGATACAGGATCGAGATCTTTATTTGCTTAGTTGATCTACGTGCGGGGAAATTAAGAAAATTTGTGATCAGAATATCAGCCATTAATATATAATGATATATTACGTATTTTTATACAATGGGAAAGAGATCGTTTGCATATAAATGTTTAGTGGCAAGGTCGAACACTGAAAAAGCAACGATAAATGTCTTGTAATATAATAACATAATGTGTTTAAAGCTCATAAATTTCAAACGTAATTTAATTTTCGTTTACTTTTCGTTTAATTAAATGTTAAAAACGATAATCGAATTCCTTAAAATGCTTTAAAAACAAAAACAAAAAAGCAAAAATCATTCTTAATCGTATTCGGTAAAATTATATTTATTGTGTATAATATAATCCACGTTGAAGGAATTTCATGTGAATAATGACATTGGGCAGAACATAATAATAAAGATAATAAAGATAAGATATTTTAATATAGTATTGGCTTTTTATCGACTCATCGTCAATTTCTTTGCTCGACGTTTTCAACCGTAAGGATTCGAATATTTCGACTTAAATTATGCCGGACATAAAATTCACCATAACGCGTCGAAATATTCATTTCTATTTTCAAAAATCACTCGGATTAATCGATAGCTGTCTAAACATCACCCATCAAATGAATCTAACGATAGTTAAGAACATTCGTTTACCTCATCATTTAGCAAGCCAATAATGACATTAAAAATCTTTAATTACTAAGGATACTTCAAATCCCTTGCCTCATTATTACAATTACCATCTTTTACCTTGGCGTGGAAATTTCAATCATTTTGGAATATTTGCTCGTTTATCGCCAAGTCACTTTGCGCATTATGATATTCCGTTGCGATCGATGGTTAATTAGGCCGATAAGTATTAAACGTTTAAAGCTTGATGAAAGCACAAATGAAAATATCGAACGATATTCTTAATGATA